GCTGACACACAGAGCTCAGACCTCAGGGGGGTGGGCAGATGCTCAGCCGGGGACAGGAAGGACAGGACAAGGATAATGGCAATCAGACATTGTTACACACTGCTGCAACAGGGCGGGCTCGTCCTAACGCAAGCAAAGCAACGGCATCGTGGTCCAGAGGGTCCAGAGGGTCCAGAAGGTCCAGAGGGTCCAGAGGGTCCAGAGGGTCCAGAGGGTCCAGAGAGTCCAGGTTCAAACAGATTATTATTCTTTGTGCAGTTTCAGTGAGGATCAATGATCTTAACAGTTTTAAAAAGTATCAGTGCTTGAAAATCCAACATCCATCACTTTGTTGTCTAAAGTCTACAGCAGAGGCACACTGGAGAGACGACAAAAATACTCTAATAAACTGTAACAAATARAACACTACAAAAGTAAGTACTGTGTGAAAAACCACTAAAGACATGAAAACAGCAGTTCTACCAACTGAACCAGAACCTGAGCTCACGCACACAGCATCAAGTTATAAGAGAAACATTTAACCCAGAATTAAACCAGTTTCCCATCAGAAGAGGAAAACACAACCTGATGCTGCCAGAATCAAACTGTACCTGAAGAATACAACACTAAGAATTTAAATAAAATAAAACAGACACTTCTACACCTTCAGCAAAACATTAAGTTAGAAGAAGCTAGAAACCATGAACAGAGAAGACATTTAACATTAGCTAAACTAGCTAAAAGCTACTGCTAAAAGCCCAAAAATTATAAGTCATTCTCATACATGGTTCACATGCCGTAAAATCAAGGCCCGCGGGCCAATCGTGGCCCACCACGGCATTTTATATGGCCCACGGGAGTTTTACAGAAGTTTTAATGTCTTAAAATAAGCTAGCATTGAACATAAACTACATTCCCCAAAATGCATTTTGATTATTTTGTAACAGCATCCCACCACTAGGTGGAGCTGCACACGGTTCAAAACTAATCAGTGAAATTTGAAGGGAAAAATTGACATTTCGCTGCTTTTTTGCTGGATACCTAGGTTTACCGGGAAGTGGGAATTTCCCACTTACTGGTCGTAAATATAAATGAGAACTCCCCTCCAGTGGGAATTCCTTGTTGAAAAGAGGGAAAGTTCAGAATTCAAGATGGCAGCTACTCAACACGACTCACTGAGTAAAACTCTTACTTTTAATTTTTCATTTCTGTAGTATTTGTTTCACATAGTACACATAGTACTTTCAAGTTTATATACAAGAGGACGTGTTAAACGCTGTTTCTATGCAGGAAATACCAAGTAGAGCTCAGTGTTTGTTAGTGGAGCTCAGGAATGTGATGTTTTGTGTTTTATTCAAGTTAAACAGGAAATATTAATTACAAATAAACTCTCACTTTATTGTTTAATCCAAACAATGAAATAAAAATGAACATGAAGGTGAATTTTTAATGTTTGCTACATTAATTAATGAGGTTGTATACAGATGTGACGTCTCTGGCCTGAATATTATCACAATAAAGCAGTGAAAACATAAAGCAGGTGCTGTTTAAATGTCAGGTCAGTCTTTGTCATTTAGCGGAGTTTAACCTCTCCCTCCAGGTCGGCCCCCGGAGCAGCGGTGGTCTGTCAGCACAATTATTCAGCTCCGRATGAACAACCTGTGGGGCTCCTGCAGATCCATGGATCCCATGTCGGGTCATTCGATTAATTTTCAATCACCATCCGTTCCAATCCCCTCCACCTGCCCGGCCGAGCCATTAGAGGCTGCGGCTGCAATCTAATTCTGTCGTATCGCACAGGAAGAGCATCAGGAGCTGCTCATGTTGACGGAGCGCTCCATTGATTTTTATGAGCCGCCATCAGAGATCAGGGCTGCGGGCTGCTGGGCAGGCAAACATGATCTCTGGAGGGCGGGCGTGTGAGTCACTGAGTGTTATATGTGAGCGTGCAGGGTC